CTTCTTTGCAACACGTAACGATAGTAATAACTATATATGTGTGGAATGTACTTCATAACATAAAGTCATTAATCTTTGTGTTCAATCTATTTGCAAATACGTGTCAGCACTCAAGATGTAATCCACGCCAATCTATTGGTAATACGTGTCATTAATCTAAGATGTAACCATCACAATCCATTGCAATACGTGTCACACTCCAAGATGTAACTATCACAATCTATTGCGCATACGCGTCACACTCAAGATGTACCTACGTAGCACCTATTGCAATACGTGTCACACCTTAAGATGTAACTATCACAATCTATTGTAATACTCCTGCTCACACTCAAGATGTAACTATCAGCAAATTCCATTGGGTAAATACCTGTCACACCGGCAGATGTAACTATCACAATCTATTGCAATTCACAGTGTAATAAATATGCCGTTCCAAATATATTGCAATACGTATCGCGATAATACGGCAAAATATTCCAAAAACAACACACCAAGCTACCGTAAAGGGCCATTGAGAGTCCCATTCCCCGGACTTGTCACATCATTGAACTAAATTTCCACTTTGCGGAAGGGATGGACATTTTATAACAATAATTTTGCAATGTTGACATTTGTTCGTCGTTTCTACACGACGGCACATACAAAGGTGCCTTTTACATTCGTTGTAAACTGTGGGCGGTGGGTTAGTCTATCGGTTAATGCGTTGGCCTGTCACGCCGAATACCTGGCCCGATTCTACATGGGTACAATGTGTGAAGCCTATATCAGCGCCCTCTGCCGGGATGTTAAGCCGGAATATTGCTAAAAGCGGCGTAAAACCAAACTCAGTCGCTGTCAGTCGCTGTGAATTTCCACGTCATTTCTGCATCGTAAGTTTAGGTGGAACTGTCCGAGGGTCGTAGCCCGATAAAGTGAAGGCTATGGCGGTCGGAGACATGAAAACGCCAAGAATGCAACCAGGGCAATGTGGGACTGAGATTACACTGACTGGAATCTGATGCCCAACTCCATCTCTAATACCAACTCGCAGAGATCCTTCATACCAAATTTGATATCGTGGGCCGTCCATACCCACATCGTAAAATATTCAATAACCACCACCTGCGCATGTACGCAACATGGTATTTCATCTTTCCTCTTGTGAATGGAAACCCGTAATGGTCTGCTTGACATGAATCCATAGCAGTTCTCTTTATATCTAAGGTAACCACTGCAACAATGTTGGAGTGTATTGTCACCCTCGGATACAAGATAGATCTTTGCAAAATTATACCTCTTTTTCTTGGAATGTGTATACTTGCGTCCGCAGCACTCTCTCTGAGACCTAACATCATAAATATTATTTAGCTAATCCTTGCCTCTGTTGGGAGGCCGAAACAGATGGAATAGGTACAATTTATTTGTTTGTTATTTTGTTGTTTCAGTATGGTTTAGACCACAATTTTACCACAAAAAGCCTTTGAAACTGTTTGTAATGTTTCATTATTTTGACGATTTTTTGATCCATTGTGTCAAGATACATCAGCTTGGTTAATCTTTTCTATGTCATGAGATATGCGTTTGGTAGGTCACTAATTATTTCTTTAACTGTGTCAGAACTGATCCATTCGATATGTTGCTATTTCATTCCCTCTCGCTAAGTGTCATAATTTATCCCTTTGGTGACACTAGATGTTTAGTTCCCAGTGTCATGGTTTATATACACTGAAATTGCAGTGAATTGTGCAGATTTACAAAAATATTTCTAAAACTGAAATGTTTCATTAGTTTGACAAAGTCAGTTCCACTGCGTCATCTTTTCTTGTCAATGGAACGTGTATTGACTTTTATGACATGTTTCCTACATCAAGTATTATATCTAAGCAATTAGTCATGTAATGTCGAATCGTTTTATCTTTGATACAAGATAGATCTTGAAATCATTGCACTGACACTTGCATCCCCAGTAGGGATTCCGAAACAGAAGATATCTTCTATTCTGACACTATTCTATGATGGGAGGAGGAAGCGGACATAATACTTACTGCATTCCTGATGGTTGTCGCGGAAAATCACTTTTGTCCATGGGTACAATGTGTTTGTTGTCAAGAATTGTGTCGCATGGTTTTTGACCTCGATCTTCTGAAAGTGTTTAAATTTAAATTTGACGATACTAGTTCTATTACATCAACACATATCAGCTTCACTACTATATGGTTTGTCTTTTTATCTGTGTCAAGTGAGTTATGTTTTTGGCATGTCACTATTTAATTCTTTAACAATGTCATGAGATATGCGAATGGAACTTTACTATGTATTTCTTTTAGCTGTACGTTTCAAACTGATCCGTCCTTCGAAATATCGCTATTTCATTCTCTCTCTATGTCCTCATTTAACCATTTAGTATGCTAATATATATTTCTTTCCCTGTGTCATGATTTACCCGCTTGTTGTGTCACTATCTATTTCAGTATATCATGATTTAATCATTGGCCATGTCACCATTCATCCGTCATGTATCATTTCTTTCACCATGTCAGATATTTCTCTTCAATCATATCATATGTTTTAAATCATTCACTAGTTCACAAGTCACATCTTTTATTATGTCACGATGTATCTCTTTTCAGCATTATGATTTTACCAATCACTGTGCTAAGATTTTATTTACCTTCACCAAGTCATAATGTATCCCTTTTAACTATGTCATGATATATTCATCTACTTATCTATGCCGCTTGCAAAATGACTCTGTCAAAAGAGAATGAACACTAAAAAATATCTACTGATTCTTAAATGGATGGCTTCTTCTGTTCACACACTTCAGCAGTGCCATCTGCCCCTGATGTTTCAATTAAAGCTGTGTCGCCAACGACCATCCCGCTACTGATAACGGCAAGTGAGACTGGTGGGCTTCCCCATCGAGGCCTACAAGATTGTGTTTTTACGCCGAGGGTGATGATCAAAACAAGGTCTTACAACTGGTACCTGTCAGTAAGCAACATTCTTGTTCAGTTTGGTAAAGGTTTACCCGGAACAAAGAAAAGTGTTTTGATTCCCTTTCCCACAGTCACAATTTCAAACTTATCAGTCTTCTTTGATTTAATTCGTCTTTTTTCAACTCACCTTGAGAGCTAGTTTAACTGATTCAGTAAGAGGAAGTCTTGCACATTTCCACCATGAAACAACCGAAAGGTATTTTGTTTGACTCTTCCGCGGGTACGACTGGTATATGAGGAGCTCGTTCAGCTCTACTTAACTGGAAGTTGATCGGAGTGGCCTTTCAACTGAACTGCCCTGTTTGATCATCCTAAGTGTGTTGTGTGTTTGTCAGACTCAACGTCCCAGGGGATGCAGACCCAGTTCGTCATCAATAATCTAGCACCCAGGCGACGATACGTCATCAGTGTGGAGGCGCGCAACAACGTGGGGTATGGGGCCAAGGCTGCAATCGCTGCCATGACTCTTGGCCATCCGTAAGTTAAGTCGAAAACTTGATCAACTCTGGGGTCACCGTAGTTAGTTACTCATCAGAAAAAGTCATTTGAGACATATATGTCCCTTTGTAGTTCTTGGTGAGTTTAGGGAACTATGGTGTTGTAAGAGCTGACTACATGCATCATGTAGTCAGGCTGTGCTTGCTTGGTTGTCGTCGTACTCTGTTGACACGAATCGTTGCTCACAAAATACATCACTGGATTGTCTGGTCAGGATTCGATTATTTACAGGTCATTACCCTCACAGCTTAAATATTCATGGAATGTAGCATACATGTCTTAAGTGCAGTAACTTGAAGTACGAATGAGAAGCATGTGATACCCATAAATGACTGTGTGTCAGCCTCATACAGCCCCTTTCAGTGACCTATTGTTGTGTGTCTTCAGGGAACCGAACCCTCCAACAGTTACCTCCCTAGATTTAGTGACTATCCGAACAGCTACAAACTGGTTTGGGAGAAACCTGGGACTGAGGCATGCCCTGACTCGATACATGGTCAGGTATTATCAGGTATACTTGCTTCAGTCTCTGACCACTGTTGTAGTTATGAACAACATGTTTGAAACAAGCTGTTATATCTGAATGTTATCTGTGATGCAGACATGGATTGTGGTGTAGCCTGGTACCTGAAATGTTGACCTAAATATTGCAATTTATTTCCAACGCATATTATTTGTTGCAATACGTGTCACAATGCAACCATATGTGCTGAATGTTTTTATAACATGTCACACTATCGCAATTATATTGCAACACCTGTCAAAATAAATACCTAATTGTCACAATCGAAGACTGCGATTCACATTGCAATATGTGTTAAAATGGATTCGTAACTATCACAAAATATTTGCAATACCTGTCAAAAATAAATATGTAACAATGACAACCTACTGCAATTCACTGTGTAATATGTGTTATAATGTGGCTGTAAGTATCTCGATGTATATACTGTATAACACAATACAGACCTACGCATCTCAGTATATCGCAAAACAATCCAACAAGCACAGATAAGCCACAATCAAATGAGAGTTCAATTCCTGGAGTGAATGAGTGAGTGAGTATGCTTTTAAGTTGCTTTTATCAATATTCCAGCAATATCACGGCGGGGGACACCAGGAATGGGCCTCACACATTGTACCCATGTGGGGAATCGAACCCGGATCTTCAACGTGACTGCAGATACCTTAAAAATTAGGCTACCCTTCCACCCCTCATTATTTGGAATAAATGTCACTTTGCAAAGCATGTATGTAATAACCCGAATTGTTCAACATTGAACATATGTTCCTCGTTAACATTAGGGCACAAACGAAGGTGCTTTACATTCAAGTTGTAAATTTCACGTCATTTCTGCACGTGTTTAGGTGGAACTATCCGAGGGTCAGCCTGAGAAAGTGAAGGCGGCGGTTGGAGACATGAAAACGCTGCTAATTGACCAGAGCAATGTGACTGAGATTACATTAACGGAATTGATGCCCAACTGCACTTATGAACTGCAGATCAGCGCTATGAACCCTATGGAGTGTCCAAGGCCACACATAAAATATTCACCACACACCACCTGGGATGTAAGCAACACCTTATTTCATCTTTTCTTGTCAATGAAAACATGCATTGACTGTGTGACATAGGGTCCGGATCAGGTATAATATCTAAGCAATTAGAGAATGAAACGAAAACATTAAGGAATGTTTTCATCCATTTGTATTTCCATGCCAGTTATCAGTTGATTTGATGGTACTGTTTATACTTAAGCGGTGCCATCTGATCCTGATGTTTCAATTAAAGAGGTGTCGCCAACGACCATCTCGTTACTGATAACGGCAAGTGGGTCTGGTGGGCAGCCATCGAGGCCTACAAGATTGTGTTTTACGCCGAGGGTGATGATCAAAACAAGGTCTCACAACTGGTACCTGTCAGTAAGCGATATTCTTTTTCAGTTTGGTAAAGGTGTGGCCGAAACAAATATAAGTGTTTTGATTCCCTTTTCCACAGTCACAATTTCAAACTTATCAGTCTTCTTAATTTAATTCGTCTTTTCAACTCGCCTTGAGAGCTAGTTTAACTGATTCAGTAAGAGGAAGTCTTGAACATTTCCACCATGAAACAACCGGAAGGTATTTTGTTTGACTCTTCCGCGGGTACGACTGGTAAATGAGGAGCTCGTTCAGCTCTACTTAACTGGAAGTTGATCGGAGTGGCCCTTCAACTGAACTGCCCTGTTTGATCATCCTAAGTGTGTTGTGTGCTTGTCAGACTCAACGTCCAAGGGGATGCAGACCCAGTTTGTCATCAATAATCTAGCACCCAGGCGACGATACGTCATCAGTGTGGAGGCGCGCAACAACGTGGGGTATGGGGCCAAGGCTGCAATCGCTGCCATGACTCTGGCCATCCGTAAGTTAAGTCGAAAACTTGATCAACTCTGGGGTCACCGTAGTTAGTTACTCATCAGAAAAAGTCATTTGAGACATATATGTCCCTTTGTAGTTCTTGGTGAGTTTAGGGAACTATGGTGTTGTAAGAGCTGACTACATGCATCATGTAGTCAGGCTGTGCTTGCTTGGTTGTTGTCGTACTCTGTTGACACGAATCGTTGCTCACAAAATAAATCACTGGATTGTCTGGTCAGGATTCGATTATTTACAGGTCATTACCTCATAGCTTAAATATTCATGAATGTAGCATACATGTCTTAAGTGCAGTAACTTGAAGTACGAATGAGAAGCATGTGATACCCATAAATGACTGTGTGTCAGCCTCATACAGCCCCTTTCAGTGACCTATTGTTGTGTGTCTTCAGGGGAACCGAACCCTCCAACAGTTACCTCCCCTAGATTTAGTGACTATCCGAACAGCTACAAACTGGTTTGGGAGAAACCTGGGACTGGAGGCATGCCCCTGACTCGATACATGGTCAGGTATTATCAGGTATACTTGCTTCAGTCTCTCACCACTGTGGTAGTTATGAACAACATGTTTGAAACAAGCTGTTATATCTGAATGTTATCTGTGATGCAGACATGGATTGTGGTGTAACCTGGTACCTGAAATGTTGACCTAAATATTGCAATTTATTTCAACGCATATTATTTGTTGCAATACGTGTCACAATGCAATCATATGTGCTGAATGTTTTTATAACATGTCACACTATCGCAATTATATTGCAACACCTGTCAAAATAAATATGTAACAATGACAACCTACTGCAATTCACATTGTAATATGTGTTAAAATGGATTCGTAACTATCTCGAAAATGTATAATACCTGTATAATAAATATAACAATGACAACCTACTGCAATCTCAGTATGTGTTATAATCTGTAAGTATCTCGAAATACAATAACACAATACAGACCTACGCATCTCAGTATATCGCATAACAATCCAACAAGCACAGATAAGCACAATCAAATGAGAGTTCAATTCCTGGAGTGAATGAGTGAGTGAGTATGCTTTTAAGTTGCTTTTATCAATATTCCAGCAATATCACGGCGGGGACACCAGGAATGGGCCTCACACATTGTACCCATGTGGGGAATCAAACCCGGATCTTCAACGTGACTGCAGATACCTTAAAAATTAGGCTACCCTTCCACCCCTCATTATTTGGAATAAATGTCACTTTGCAAAGCATGTATGTAATAACCCGAATTGTTCAACATTGAACATATGTTCCTCGTTAACATTAGGGCACAAACGAAGGTGCTTTTACATTCGTTGTAAATTTCACGTCATTTCTGCACGTGTTTAGGTGGAACTATCCGAGGGTCAGCCTGAGAAAGTGAAGGCGGCGGTTGGAGACATGAAAACGCTGCTAATTGACCAGAGCAATGTGACTGAGATTACATTGACGGAATTGATGCCCAACTGCACTTATGAACTGCAGATCAGCGCTATGAACCTATCGGAGTGTCCAAGGCCACACATAAAATATTCACCACACCACCTGGGGATGTAAGCAACACCTTATTTCATCTTTTCTTGTCAATGAAAACATGCATTGACTGTGTGACATAGGGTCCGGATCAGGTATAATATCTAAGCAATTAGAGAATGAAAACGAAAACATTAAGGAATGTTTTCATCCATTTGTATTTCCATGCCAGTTATCAGTTGATTTGATGGTACTGTTTATACTTCAGCGGTGCCATCTGATCCTGATGTTTCAATTAAAGAGGTGTCGCCAACGACCATCTCGTTACTGATAAGGGCAAGTGGGTCTGGTGGGCAGCCCATCGAGGCCTACAAGATTGTGTTTTACGCCGAGGGTGATGATCAAAACAAGGTCTCACAACTGGTACCTGTCAGTAAGCGATATTCTTTTTCAGTTTGGTAAAGGTGTGGCCGAAACAAATATAAGTGTTTTGATTCCCTTTTCCACAGTCACAATTTCAAACTTATCAGTCTTCTTAATTTAATTCGTCTTTTCAACTCGCCTTGAGAGCTAGTTTAACTGATTCAGTAAGAGGAAGTCTTGAACATTTCCACCATGAAACAACCGGAAGGTATTTTGTTTGACTCTTCCGCGGGTACGACTGGTAAATGAGGAGCTCGTTCAGCTCTACTTAACTGGAAGTTGATCGGAGTGGCCCTTCAACTGAACTGCCCTGTTTGATCATCCTAAGTGTGTTGTGTGCTTGTCAGACTCAACGTCCAAGGGGATGCAGACCCAGTTTGTCATCAATAATCTAGCACCCAGGCGACGATACGTCATCAGTGTGGAGGCGCGCAACAACGTGGGGTATGGGGCCAAGGCTGCAATCGCTGCCATGACTCTGGCCATCCGTAAGTTAAGTCGAAAACTTGATCAACTCTGTGGTCACCGTAGTTAGTTACTCATCAGAAAAAGTCATTTGAGACATATATGTCCTGTGTAGTTCTTGGTGAGTTTAGGGAACTATGGTGTTGTAAGAGCTGACTACATGCATCATGTAGTCAGGCTGTCCTTGCTTGGTTGTTGTCGTACTCTGTTGACACGAATCGTTGCTCACAAAATAAATCACTGGATTGTCTGGTCAGGATTCGATTATTTACAGGTCATTACCTCATAGCTTAAATATTCATGAATGTAGCATACATGTCTTAAGTGCAGTAACTTGAAGTACGAATGAGAAGCATGTGATACCCATAAATGACTGTGTGTCAGCCTCATACAGCCCCTTTCAGTGACCTATTGTTGTGTGTCTTCAGGGGAACCGAACCCTCCAACAGTTACCTCCCCTAGATTTAGTGACTATCCGAACAGCTACAAACTGGTTTGGGAGAAACCTGGGACTGGAGGCATGCCCCTGACTCGATACATGGTCAGGTATTATCAGGTATACTTGCTTCAGTCTCTCACCACTGTGGTAGTTATGAACAACATGTTTGAAACAAGCTGTTATATCTGAATGTTATCTGTGATGCAGACATGGATTGTGGTGTAACCTGGTACCTGAAATGTTGACCTAAATATTGCAATTTATTTCAACGCATATTATCTGTTGCAATACGTGTCACAATGCAATCATATGTGCTGAATGTTTTTTTATAACATGTCACACTATCGCAATTATATTGCAACACCTGTCAAAATAAATATGTAACAATGACAACCTACTGCAATTCACTGTGTAATATGTGTTATAAATTGGCTGTAAGTATCTCGATGTATATACTGTATAACACAATACAGACCTACGCATCTCAGTATATCGCAAAACAATCCAACAAGCACAGATAAGCCACAATCAAATGAGAGTTCAATTCCTGGAGTGAATGAGTGAGTGAGTATGGTTTTAAGCTGCTTTTATCAATATTCCAGCAATATCACGGCGGGGGACACCAGGAATGGGCCTCACACATTGTACCCATGTGGGGAATCAAACCCGGATTTTCAACGTGACTGCAGATACCTTAAAAATTAAGCTACCCTTCCACCCCTCATTATTTGGAATAAATGTCACTTTGCAAAGCATGTATGTAATAACCCGAATTGTTCAACATTGAACATATGTTCCTCGTCAACATTAGGGCACAAACGAAGGTGCTTTTTACATTCGTTGTAAATTTCACGTCATTTCTGCACGTGTTTAGGTGGAACTGTCCGAGGGTCAGCCTGAGAAAGTGAAGGCGGCGGTTGGAGACATGAAAACGCTTCTTATTGACCAGAGCAATGTGACTGAGATTACATTAACGGAATTGATGCCCAACTGCACTTATGAACTGCAGATCAGCGCTATGAACCCTATCGGAGTGTCCAAGGCCACACGTAAAATATTCACCACACCACCTGGGGGATGTAAGCAACACCTTATTTCATCTTTTCTTGTCAATGAAAACATGCATTGACTGTGTGACATAGGGTCCGGATCAGGTATTATATCTAAGCAATTAGAGAATGAAAACGAAAACATTAAGGAATGTTTTTATCCATTTGTATTTCCATGCCAGTTATCAGTTGATTTGATGGTACTGTTTATACTTCAGCGGTGCCATCTGATCCTGATGTTTTGATTAAAGTGGTTTCGCCAACGACCATCTCGTTACTGATAAGGGCAAGTGGGACTGGTGGGCAGCCCATCGAGGCCTACAAGATTGTGTTTTACGCCGAGGGCGATGATCAAAACAAGGTCTTACAACTGGTACCTGTCAGTAAGCAATATTCTTTTTCAGTTTGGTAAAGGTTTAGCCGAAACAAAAAAAGTGTTTTGATGCACTCTTATTCCGGCACAATTTCAAACTTTTCAGTCTTGTTAATTTGATTTAGTCTTTTCAACTCACCTTGAAAGCAAGTTTAACTGTTTCAGTAAGAGGATGTCTTGCACATTTCCACTATGAAACAACCGAAAGGTATTTTGTTTGACTGTTCCGCGGGTACGACTGGTAAATGAGGAGCTCGTTCAGCTCTACTTAACTGGCAGTTCATCGAGTGACCCTTCTGTTGAACTGTCCTGTTTCACCAGCCTGTGTTGTGTGTTTGTTAGACTCAACGTCCCAGGGGATGCAGACCCAGTTCGTCATTAATAATCTTTTACCAAGCCGACGATACGTCATCAGTGTGGAGGCTCGCAACAACGTGGGGTATGGGGCCAAGGCTGCAATCTCTGCCATGACTCAGTCCGTCCGTAAGTTAAGTCGAGAAGCTGATCAACTCTGGGGTCACCGCAATTAGTTACTCATCAGAAATGTATTGTGTAACAGATATATACTCGGCGTCATTAATGAAGGGTAAAGCTATTTGCAACAGTATTTCTTAAATGTTGTAAAATCTTCCTGTTGTTTGAAATATTTACAACCGAATGTTTCACTAACTTTCTTAACAGTATGGAAAAACACATCAGGCATTGAAATGTCATCATTATGTTCGTTAACGTTGTGCTGTTACAAAGGGCGCATATATTATTCTGATTTTTTTAATATGGAAATCCAACTGCCACTTAATGTCAGTGATTTGCACGTACAAGTCCCCCTATACATGGGAAAAGGAGGACCATACACATGCATTGATGCTTTTTCACTGTCGTTCACTGTTCAGGTACCTCTTTGAAATCGCAGCTTAAAATGAGACGTTTTTTTACACTTGCTGTAAGGGGTCAGGCTATTGTCCTTTTGCAATCAGATCAGCCTCAGCGGCAGCTTGCTGACCGCTTTAATGTAAGTCAGAGTGCTTTTGGTAGACTGGCAGAGATTTCAAGCCAATGGGTCCGTGGAATATGCACGGCGACCAGGTCGCCACGGAGTCACAACAGTCCGAGATGTTAGGCACATGATTAACACCGCATTTCGTAACAGATTCCTTAACACAGCAGATATTCAAACAGAACACTTCAATGTTAACAATGTAAGGATATCCAGGGGCACCGTTTAAGGGCAGCCGGACTCCGTTGTAGGCGACCTGCAGTTTGTCCACCACGTCGACCCTCGTTACTGCAAGACACCAACGATAGGCGTCACAGGGCCATTATTGTCACGGAATACCTTAGGCAGCAGGGTGGAGAGCAGATGGAGTGGCCAGAATGTTCGCTAGACCTCAACCCAAGTAAGCATCCCTGGGATAAACTCAGACGACGTCACCCAGCACCAGTGTATCTCCCAGGACTCCGCAGGGCTCTAGTAGAGGAATGGAAGCTTTCTTTGTGAACTTGATATGGGGCATGAGAACGAGGTGCACCAGTGTCTTGGACGCGCGAGGAGGGTACACAAGATATTGAATGACCGAGTGCTTCATGTCTGTCATTTTCATTTGGTCTACACAACTGATGTTTGTTAGTGCTGTGTGAACTTTCTGTCTGTATGTCACGATGTGTCACGTTGGTCAACATATTAAAGGTTACGACACTCTTAGTTCTATTATTTCTGAGAAACCTTTCTTTACATATATATAATATGACCCTTCATTAATGACACCTAGTATGTATACTCTTAAAAAAACTCAATTTTATTTACGATTGAAAAAAATCGGGAGATATATCGGAGTCAATTAATGCTGATATGATATTAATGAATGTTTTGAGATAGCATCACCACTTGCACTTCCTTATGACCATAGTTGTTTGTACAGTAATCGCTCTTGAAAGATGATTGGTGTATGACTTGAAATTTGCATGTGTACGAATTTCATTTTCAAACAAAAAAAAAACGTCTAGAAAGAAACACTGTGTAATGCAAGATCAAATTAATGGTCTACAGTGATTTATCGACGACCATCTAGAAAACCCTCAAAATCAAGAATTACGCCCATGCACGTGTATGGGACTACTACGTTTTGCACGTGCATCCCATGCGTTGTACTTAGGGGTGGCGATATTGAGAAATGCCGGTGCGTTCATAAGATGACTGCATTTGAAAAGTTTGTTAACGCTTATACTTCCTACTGCTATTGAAAGTTTTTATCCCATCCCAAAATTGTCCACTTAAGGCATAACAAGAACCCATCTGACTCTGCACATTGATTGCCCATCTATTTGACCATCCTGATCAAATTTCAGAGAAGCCATCAGCTCCGAGCATCTCAGCTGATGAAGTGACGTCCACAAGCATCCGTCTGCTGATTGCGAAAGAACAAGAAACTGGGGGACAGCCCGTCATAGAGTACAGGGTCGTTTATTATGCTAAAGGCAATGTAAAAGGAAAGATCAGAAGAAAGGTTCCTGTCAGTAAGTTGAGTTGTTTATCAATTACAGTAACAGACGGTTAACTCCCCTCCTCAACACAAAGGAAAAAAACAGAACGGGTACTTTCCCTCTGGTGGGCGAGCTGGCTAGGGCACCAGGCTAGTAATCCAGCGAGCTTGAGTTGACGGGATCGAGCCCAGGTGACCAGGTGTAAAAACCTCGGATTCAACTTTGTGTGCAGACTCTTTCAGTGTTGTCACAACCCCTAGTGTACAGTACACAACCCTGTGCACTTAAAAGAACCCACCAGTCCGTTGGTATTTTACCAGATGGTGGCGACATGAATACGTGCAAACACCTAGTTGCGGGTACAGCAACGTGCAGTAAACTTGGACAAAGTACTGTGACTTTCTGTTGCAGTCCACCCAGCTGTGAATGGGTACCTCGTAGTGATGGGAAAGCCACATTAACTCGGTGCGCCTGGTAGGCAGCAAGAGTTGTATGCTCCCCAGGGAGTTAATACGAAGTGATGTTGAGATTGACATCCTAAGATCGAGGGAAAAAATCAAAGCGCCTGTGAGCAGCCTAGCTTGAACTCGGCGCTATATAAATAGATTATAATAAAATAATTATAATAATACCTCAGACACAATCTAATGCTCACCTTTCCTCCCAGTTCTCTGGAGTGTTGTTTCAGTCTAACCAGTTTAGGTGTGTCATGTGTTATATGGTTTTGTCAGACAGAAACTCCAAGGACCTGCAGACTGTGTTCCTCATTGACAATCTGGAAGCGGGGGTTCAGTACTTCATCAGGGTAATGGCTCGCAACAACTTGGGTTATGGAGCCAAGGCTAAAATGTCTGTCAAGACAGCGTTCTTCAGTGAGTTGAAACCAAACAATAATGACCCTGTTTTATGGAGGGGGTTATCTTGGACTCCATTCGAGTGAATGATGAGTGATGTATTATACTCAGGTCTATAATTGTGTGAGGCTGTGGGGTAGCCTAATGGCTAAAGTGTGAACCCCATCGCTCGTCACGCCACAGACCCGGGTTCGATTCCACACATGGGTACAATGTGTGAACCCCATTTCTGGTGTCCCCCGCCGTGATATTGCTGGAATATTGCTAAAAGCTGTGTAAAACCATACTCACACACCCTCTCTATAATTGTGAATTGTGCTTTACTTTTTGGAATCAACACTTACTGATTGAGGAACTCTGACACTGACTAACACAGAATCTTCTCAGAAAAGACACCACAGATATATTGTAGGCACTGACTGACTGATACTACAGTGGCCGGGTTTTATAAGAACGTTTTGTATACTGTTAGGCAGTTATGAATAAAATGTGTTGTTTGACATATACCCAACAACCAATTCCACAACCAACCACAGTAGTCTTCTATCCATTTCATCTTCCAAATTGATTTCAATACTAGTCCATTGATTTAAATTTTCTGTTCAAACTTTCAGCGAGAAATACTCATCACTACCGAGTCAGGTGCTAATTCTTCCGTTTCCGTCCTTTTGCCTCCAGGCTTGTGTACTTTCACAGAGGCTGACGACGAGAGCAAAGTCATTACGAGTCAACGGCATTTATGAGACCAGTCAGTAAGTGGAACTTCTAGCTACCTTTAATTTTCTGGTTCAAGCGGTACCATCACTACCGAGTCTGACATTTGCCTCCAGGCTTGTGTTCTTCTTCACAGAGGCTGAGGCAGCGAAAGGTTTGTTGGAGTCGAGATGTGACAATTGTGTGGCACCCATTCAAGGCCAGCAAGTCCTCATGATCCCTCGGAGTCATGAGCCGAGACAAAATGTGCTTGACGTGTCTCCAGCTGCTGTTAACCTTTTTGGTCATGGAGTTATGAACTCGCTTGTGTTTATCTCCGTCTAAGTTCACTTTCATGATTGTTTTCTTGTCCGGATTCTGAGTGAGTGAGGGAATTTTGTTTGATTTACGTTTTTAGCAATATTCCAGCAATATCACGGCAGGGGACACTAGAAATGGGCTTCACACATTCTACCGATGTGGGGAATCGAACCCGGGTCTTCGGCGTGACGAGCGAACGATTTAACTACTAGGCTACCCCACCGCCCTTCCGTCTCAGTAGATATTCAGTCTTCGGGTTGACCACTAGACCAGTTGGGGTTCTGAGGCTGGAGATCCTCTTCTTTATATCCTGGAGCACTTCACGTTCTCACTGTCCGGTACACCCGTGCAGATCCGGGCTAGAACTTCAGTAACCCATGCTTGTCGTAAGAGGCGACTAACGGGATCGGATGGTCAGGCTCGCTGACTTGGTTCACACATGTCATCGGTTCCCAGTTGGGTAGATCGATGCTCATGCTGTTAATTGTCTGGCCCAGACTCGATCAATTACAGACCGCCTTCATACAGCTGGAATATTGCCGAACACGGCGTAAAAATATACTCACTCACAATGAAAATTAAAAAATAAGTCTCTTCATGCCTTTGAGAAAATTCCGAATTTGTTTCAAAGAAAATCATGTGTAGCATGTGTCATGCTTTTTCTAGTTTGACTATGTTTATCAGTTCCACTGTGTCATGTGATATCTTCCCACTGTGTCATGTGATATCGTCCCACTGTGTCATGTGATGTTTTTGTCCACTGTCATGTGATATTTTCCCACTGTGTCATGTGATATCTTCCCACTGTGTCATGTGATATCTTCCCACTGTGTCATGTGATATTTTCCCGCTGTGTCACGTGATATTTTCCCACTGTGTCATGTGATATTTTCCAACTGTATCATGTGATATTTTCCCACTGTGTCATCTGTGTTATATCTCATTTGTCTGTGTTTTATGTTTCATGTTTTATGCGTTGACAATTCCATGCTGTATCTTATTATATTTTATCCATTTCACCATATCATGATTTATTAGATTCATTATACCATATTTAATCAGCTTCTCTGTGGTCTGCTGTATTGCTTTAACTGGCTGTTTCACCTCATATTTAATAATCATCCATTGCGTTATATTATGCCTTCTGTGTTTCACTGTGTCACGCTTCACCCATTTCATCGTCAGTTTCACCATGCCAAGTATTACTCGTTACACCATTATGGTGTCTCAGTTTCACCACCTCATGTTTTACCTGTTTCACCTTCTCATGTTTTATTTGTTTCACCATCTCATATTTATCTGTTTCACCGTCTCATGTTTTATTTGTTTCACCTTCTCGTGTTTTACCTGTTTGATCCTCTCACATTGTATGTTTCACCTTGTCATGTTTTTTTTCTTTCACCAACTCATGTTTTTTCTTTCACCATCTCATGTTTTATCTGTTTCAACGCCTCATGTTTTTAAATGTTTAAATGCGTCAGTTTTATTAACTGAAGAATGTCATGTGTCCCAGGAATTCGGACTTAATTTGGCCAAGGTTTATGCACTCTTGGCAGCGGAGGAACATATGGAATCATCCCTGACATGATACCACCTTGCCATAAACTGAACCTGAAAATATTTTGCAATGTTTTATTCGCTGTTTAATGTCGCATTTAACAATACTCCAGCTGCAATACTAATATTCAAATCGTATGTTTCGCCTGGCATTGGTTGCTTTGGACATATTCTGACCTGGCATATACACGAGGGATATCATTGGATGATACTGTATGATAGGATCCGTAAGTAGGTCACGGCACTTCCCGAGACCTTAGTACTTCCGGTGACAAACAACGTTTCATGCCTTTTCGAATGGACTCACGGTTGTCAGTTGACAGTAAGGAACCGATAACCCTTGGAGGAATAACATATTTCCCATCTATCCATCTCCAAATTAGCCAACTTCTACGACTGTCAACAGCAGCGACCAGTCAAGGTTGTACACCTAGTCCGGAACAGTAATGTCATATATGGCGGTCGCGCAGTTTGGAACCAGAACTGGTTCTTGAATAAACAGGAAATCTGCTACCGGAAGTAAGCTGGGTCCGGTCTGGCATATCGCAAGTTAGCGTAAAGGGAGCCGGAAACTAGCTAAAGTACCGTAAGCATCGCCTCGCGAGACTTACAGGCCCTGTTACAGGGATTTATTATGATAATTCACCCCCAAAGTGTCTGACTTTCAAGTAAGGATGCTGCTCAGAGGCACTTAGACTTACGCTTATATAATTAATTTATTATATTAAATTGAAAAGTAGCCCCAGCGAGACAAGAGATTTCAGATTTCTTTCCCAAAGATTTTGCTTGATTTGTCTCTTAAAGACCAGAAACTGTGCACAAGGCTTACACTATAGCTTCGTGTCGCCCCGAGTGCTTGTTAGGTACGAGTTGACAGATGAAAATGTGAGGCAAGATTCCAGACCACTGGTGAGGATGTTGGTCCAGCCTGCCATGGCAGTGTGTAAACCGAGTTAGTTTTCTTGCAGATGTTAACAGACCTTGAACCTGAGGAAATCTAGACTTGCTTCGTTTAGGGCTTCAGCATTGCAGGGATGGCTGAGGAGTAGGGGAAACGATGTGGTTGAGGGACAGCGAGACGGATTGAGAGGCATTATGAGGACTCTATTGCAGGACGCCATCTCTGCAAAGGTTGGTTAGCTTGGTGTTTTACGCCGCACTCAGCAATATTCCAGCTACATGGCGGCAGTCTGTAAATAATTCAATCTGGACCACACAATCCAGTGATCAACACACAAGCATCGATCTACGCAGTTGGGAACCGATGACATGTGCCATGTAAGTCAGCGAGCCTGACCACCCGATCCCGCCTCTTACCACAAGCATAGGTTACTGAAGATCAATTTTAACCCGGATCTTCACGGGTTTTTCAGACGTATGTCTTCTGAGAAGAATAACGTTATAGTGTTGAGAGGATTAACGTGTATAGTGTTGACCTGGCTTTGAGGTAGGCCTTCTGAGAATAGTGGAAGAAGCCGGGCTTTGTTGAAGTCCTGATATAGACTGGTGTGTTTTATTAAACAGAGTGGGAGAAGCTCCTGAAAAAACTTTCGCACAGTGCGAGGGCGTTGGTTGTGACGAGGACGTGAATGTATCGTCAAGTTTGAAGATACTGTTGATACTGAGGATCGTGCATGGCGATGTAATATATATGAACATTATCAGTTGATTAAGGAGCATTCAATGAAGACTACAGCATAGTGTTGGATGTATGTTATAAATGTTGTTAATGGTTTTTAGCTAACATATGTCACCGTGTAGATTTACGTGCAATATATTAATGAAGCTGAATACATTACTAAGTTTTGTTTTTGTTTTTGAGGTTGTAGAGAGGCAGCAAATATTGTGTCACTATGTATTTTGAATTTTGGTACATGAAAATACATATTTATTGATTGCTCTTCATTTTGTCTCTGTTATTGTCTCTGTCTCTCTTTCGGCTCCTCAACAGATACATGAAGCACATAGCTTAAACCTACACGTCGTGCAGACCTCGAGTCACCTACTTTGGCTGTTCAACAGATACATGAAGCACATAGCTTAAACCTACACGTCGTGCAGACTTCGAGTCACCTACTTTGGCTCCTCAACAGATACATGAAGCACATAGCTTAAACCTACACGTCGTGGAGGCCTCGGGTCACCTACTTTGGCTCCTCAACAGATACATGAAGCACATAGCTTAAACCTACACGTCGTGGAGGCCTCGAGTCACCTACTTTGGCTCCTCAACAGATACATGAAGCACATAGCTTAAACCTACACGTCGTGCAGACCTCGAGTCACCTACTTTGCCTCCTCAACAGATACATGAAGCACATAGCTTAAACCTACACGTCGTGGATACCTCGAGTCACCTACTTTGGCTCCTCAACAGATACATGAAGCACATAGCTTAAACCTACGTGTCGTGGAGGCCTCGAGTCACCTACTTTGCCTCCTCAACAGATACATGAAGCACATAGCTTAAACCTACACGTCGTGGAGGCCTCGAGTCACCTACTTTGCCTCCTCAACAGATACATGAAGCACATAGCTTAAACCTACACGTCGTGGAGACCTCGAGTCACCTACTTTGGCTGTTCTTCCGATACGTCAAGACAATACAAACTGTCCCAGAACCATCCAGCCTGCCATGTCCAGCCTAAGTCCTGGGACAAAGCGTTGTGAAAAGTTCCACTCGCGGTTGTCCACGACAGCGCTAGATATATCTTCACCGATATTTCAATTTTGTAATGCCACTGGCTATTACACCAGTGACCATATAATAGAGGCTTCTGATTACACCAACTAAACTGAGTTTAAAACAGTCTATACTGCCACCGTACTTACTTGTTGTCGTATCTCACATCTTCACTGTTAACCAGCAACTTCCGCGAGTGGTACAATGTGTGAAGCCCAAGTCTTGTGTCCACCCGATCCCCCACCCCCCGTGATTTTTCGGAAATATTGCTATTCCCGTGAGTGCGAGACTACAACGCACTCGAATATGGCCGCCGAGTGACGTCACACCGCTCTCGCATCCCTAATAAGCTGGGACCAAAGGAAAACTTGGCTTTCCTGCACGAGATAGCGTAGAACCATGAGTCGATCCATTAATCCATTACACCTACTCTTACAACAATATACTTAGTATAACATATGATGGATATTCCCATTTCATAATATACATTTCGATATATCTTTTATGAATAGTGGCACTCGTATTGAACACTCGTTGTCCTGAAGATGTGCTTTGATATTTTTTGGTGTAATAGACTCTTCATCTCGAAACAATTAGTAATGTGCTATTCTCTGTTTTCATGTTTTTGTTTTGTTAAAATCTTTGACGTTGGGTGTGTAGGCCCAAACGATTCAGGTAGCTCATTCATCAACACTTGCAATACATACAAAGGACAGACCCGTGAAGATCCGGGGTAGAATAGGTCTTCAGCAACCCATTCTTGTCATAAAGTAAAAGGCGACTA